TTTCTTCTCCCATTCAACGCTCAGACACTTATTTCTCAACTCCTTGGCCCACTCCCAGCCCCAACTACTCCACACTTTCATCCATGTTTGCAGCCTGGTATGAGATAACTTCAGGTACAGACCAACGTGGCAGTTTAGTGCAAATTCATCAATCAACTCTGTCCACATACAAGCTCTCCTTAAAATCATCTATACCCACATTACATCAACAACTTTTTTCCTACCTCATTGACAATTTCGATGGTAAACCTCCATCCTTAACATCATTTTGTCATACATCAATGCGATTCCACACCCAACTTTCTCCTCAAATACCCATCGCAACTTATTGGAAAGATCACCACCCAGCTACCAACTCAGAATGGACATCCTTCTTCAAATGGCTTGGTTCTAAAAGATCAGTCTTCCCTCATTTTACGGAATGGTATTACCATCTACAGATATGTGCCTTAAACTAACAAAATGACCGAGTAACAGTTGTTATATAATTTCAAATACAAGAAGGAAATTTAATATTATTTCTATATAAACTTTAATAAAACAAACAGTAACTTGGTAAACACTTTTTAACTCACTCGACGAGTGCTTAGGTGTGAGGGATTTCCTTGTTACTCCCTTCATGTAACTCACACATCCTAACACCTATCTCTTCACACTCTTCCTCAAAAGTTATCACAAGTTATAATTTTCATCAACCTTTCGAATGTGGTAACATCTAAAAACATTGTCAACATATCTGCAACATTCTCAAGTCTTACATTTCCTGGAGGAAAAGATTGTCAATTCCACCTTTATGAATCTAGGTACCATAATTCTTCAAAAGTCAGAATATGACGAAACTTCCAATATGGCCTTTTTCGATGATGAGGTCTACTCCCATTTTGTCTTAGTTGATGTTTAAATCAACTAACTCCCCGCAAATACCCCATCATTAAACATGCCGGGAAATTCGTCCAAGTGGAGGTATTACTAAATAGTTACCTCCGCCATTGCACCTACTGTCAGTCTACGGAACATACCCGTAGAGCCTGTACAGTTGCAGCCGTTTGCCCACATTGCCTTCAAAGGGATCATCCACCACATAGATGTCCTCTTGTCAGAAATAACAAAAATCTCTTCTCCACAGAAAAGAACCCAAGTCCAGCTCCATCTGACTCCAATACTCCAAATCCAGCTGCTACCCAGGATGGTGTTCCAGTCACACCAACTCCTGCTCCTGAACCCATCTCCATTGCAGAAAATTGGGCGGACGATCCCCATGAAATCATGGTGGACTTGCCCCCTCAGACTAACAAAGTATCAAAGTTGGTAAAGAAGTCCTTCTTACGAGGATATAATCTGAAGAAAACATCAAAGAAGAAATAATTCTGGAATCATGACGA